AGGGACACAGGTCATTTTGGGTCATGGCCCGGACTCTCCCTGCCCTACCAGGACCCCTCGCACTAGGCACAAACCTTGGCCATGGCAGCCGAAGCCACTTCCAGGGCAGCGAGGAGGCGAGGTTTGTCCCGGGCCATCTCTGGGATGAGGGCAAGGGCTCGGGGTGAGGGGAGCAGCCTGGGTTCGTCTCAGGGACAACCCCCCATGCTGCCTCCCCCTCAGGCCGGCGGGACGCTGCTGGCCAGGAGCCAGGCCTACCTCTGAGCAGGTCTCGGGCAGAGGTCCCCTGCCTCAGCAGGGCCTGATTGGAGGAGGACACGATAGCTTTGAGCTCCTCAGCCCGGGACACGTACTGCCCCACCTGCAGAAGGCAAGGGGCTGAGGAGGGGCCGTCCCAGCCCCCCTCCCTCACCAGCACCCACCTCCAAGTTCTCCCTCTGGGTACTCAGAGACTACTCCAAGCTGTCATGTCAGGGGGTCGACTGAGGCTCAACTAGGAGAGAAAGTTCTGGTTCTAGGCTCTAAGGAACCTGTCTGCAGAGGCCCCCGGATCCCTCACCTGCTTCCTTCAGGAGACTCCCTCACCCACCTTGGCCTTAATTGCCTCCTTCCGCTGGGCATCCACTTCATCTGTAGAAAGCAGGGGTTCGTATGAGGAGTCTGCCCCGCATCAAACTCTTTGGAATCCTCAGAAGGACCAAGTTCCAGATTTACCCTCTGCTTTGTCTCCCACAAAATTCTGGGTGGGGAGCTGCTTCTGGAATCCATCCACTGCAGCTGCGGCCACCCCACCCCTGCTGCACCCAGGGGCTCCGGGCACTCACAGTGCAGGGCGGGCACGAAGAAGTCCAGAGCTTTGCAGTAGAGAGACAGAGCGGCCGCGGCGTCCCCGTCCTGGTCCTTCTCCACCGCCTGCACCACCAGGGCAGTCTGGGGGACAGATCGGCAGTCATGCCCGCCGCCCCCCATCCCCCACGCCGTGCTCTCCACAAACAGAGAAGGGCAGATCCCCTGTTCACCACCGAATGGGGTAGATGGGTCAGCCCCCCAACCTGCCCTCACCCCACTCACTGCTCGTGCTAGGCTCTCCCCACTGGGCATATGCTCCAGGTCCACCCAGGGGTGGGCGAAGAAGTCCTGGAAGGAGATGCGACGGTTGGGGTCCCGCTCCAGGAGCCGCTGCAGCAGGTCCCGGCAGCCTCGGGAGAGCGGAGGCCGCGGGGGGAGCTGTGGGGAGGACGGAGGACAGACTACATGGGCCTCCAGCACTTCCACCCTGCCTGTGCCTGTCAGGACCGTGGGGGTGCCAAGCTGGGCCTGGGCCTGCTTGGCTTTTCTCCCAGAGGGGCGTGCACAACGATCCGCGAGCCAGCCCTTTGCTGCCTGCTATGAGCTGATCTGCGCTCCCGGAACCATACGGAACCCCTCTAGAGGATGCCCCCGCACTGCAAGCTGGCCCAGAGCCCACAATCTGTGCAGCTGGTGGTGAGGTCTCCAAACTCAGGGCCCTGAATCCCTCTGCCCACCAGAGGGCCAAGGCCCTTCGAGACCTACCTCAATAACCCGGTTGCTCCGGATCTTTTCTTCCACCTCTGTGAACGACCTGGAGGCAAAGGGGGGCTTGCCGAAGAGGGCTTCTGTGGAAGGGAGGCAGAGCGCAGGCTGGGAAGGGGCAGGGTCAAGCCTGATCTGGCCCACCTTTGGAAGATACCCCCAGCGCCAGGTCCCCGGGGCCCGCCGAGTCACATTCATTAGGCCCCTCGGGAGTGGCCCACTGAGGCCTGGAGCAAGGACACAGGGTGCAGGCTGCAGGCCCCGGGGTAGGGCGGGGGACAGAGCTCTCACCGTACAGGATGACCCCCACGGACCAGAGGTCCACGCGGGCGTCGTACTGCCGCTGACACACCATCTCAGGGGCCATGTAGAGAGGGGAGCCACGCAGTACATGCTTCTCATCCCAGGGGGACATGTGCTGTGCGAAGCCAAAGTCTGTGGGCAAGAGGCCAGGCTGCAGAGCTCCACTGGTAGCTGCTTCTCCTCCAGACTTTTAAAGCCTCACCCTGGGTTCCAGGGCAGGGCTCAGCCCACACTCCAGGCCCACCAGGATCAATCCTACCCTGCAGCCTCTGCTCACAGCCCGTCACTCCAGATCAGCCTAGAACACCCTCCTACATCTTCCTCTAGGAGCCAGAATAAATCCCACCTACCTGCACAGCCTCCTCAGGCACCCTTTTCCAGGAAGCCCACCTTGACTGCATCAGCTACGAGGCTAAGGGACCACTAGGGGTTAGTTTGTTACACCTGGCTTTCTGGCCTCCAGCCTCAAGTCCATTCTTTTCCAAATTCTATCAGGGGCCACAGCCACCTCCTGCCGCCCTTCCCCGCAACACTGCCACACTCGGGAGTTATAGGCTGAACCCCAATCCCCAATCCTGGTGAAAGACCAAGTTCTGACCCTGCTCACACACTGAGCCCTTCCCCTCATCACACGCTGAGTTTCGATCCTGCCCCTACACAGAGCCCTGCCCCCATCCAGTCCACTTCTGGAGTCGAGTGTGGGAAGCTCAAGAAAAGTCCTGTGTTTTGGCAGTGGGGCTACACTTCTCAGCCCGTCACAGTGTGATGATGCAATGGAGGGCGCATGAAAACCCGGGCTGCTGCGTGAGCCCAGGCCACGGTAGGCCCCTGTGCACCCACCCTCCAACCTTCATCCCAGCTCTTCCAGACACACCTGCCAGTTTGAGGTGGGGCTTCTCCAAGGAGCTCAGCAGGATGTTCTGCGGCTTCAGGTCCAGGTGAGAGATATTCCGTTCATGCAGGAACTGCAAGGCGCTAGCTGGGGAGTTAAGACTCATGTGGGGTAACAGGTCAAAGAAGTCCATGTCCCACCTGTCTGTCGCCTCCCCATCTGACTCTTCAAGCCTGCACAACCTCAGTTCCACTCTGGCTGGTCTACTGAATGCTTTAATACTTAAGTATCAGGCTCCTGCCACTTCTAAGAATTTGCCCCCTACCCCCTGGGACCTCTTCACAAGCTCCCCCTCCCGGAAGCCTCCCCAACACTTAGGGTCTTGTTCTTTTCTTTGACAAAGCACTTGGGTCCTACCCATGGGCCCTGGAACATTCTATGAGTCCCTTATATTATGTTCTATGTGTGGAAACCTGGACTCCCCCCCACATGGGGACTCCTCTGTTTCTCATGGCATCCTTAAGCCAGGGACAGGCACACGGGAAAGATGGGGCCCTAAAAACCCAAGCTGGGACAGAGGCAACTGCTAAGAAGGGCTCTAAGCCTGGGGTGGGGGGCTGAGAGGGGCAGAGACCATGGGATGGGTGGATGTCAGGCTGGGGCCAGAGGCTTTTACCCAACTGCTGCATGAAGACGCGAGCCACCTTCTCAGGCAGAATCCTGCGAGTATGGATGAAGCGAGACAGGTCACCCCCTGCGCAGAACTCCATGATGAGGTAGATGTTGTCACTGTCCCACTGTGGTTATACAAGCAGACAAAGAGCTTGAAGAGAATGTCCTTTCTCCAGCTCCCTTGGGGGGGGGGAGGGGGCCCACCCCAGGCCCGCACCTGGAAGTCTTTCAGCTGTACAATGTGGGGGTGTTGAATGCCCTTGAGGATCTCAATCTCGGTCAATAGATTCTCCATGGATGCCTTGTTCAGACTCTTCTTGGGCACGCACTTTATGGCTACCACCTCACGAGTGTCCTTCTATGGGGACAGGAGATTTGACAGTTCTGCCCTGAGGGAGCCAGAGAGCTCTGGTTCCCTCTGCACCTCTTCCCCCAAACACTGGGCATCCCCAGTCAGACCGGGGCTCCAGGCTTCCCAGCCTCCCCTTCTCAGGATAGGAAGGCACCCGGATTCTGGAATCTCCCTCCCCTCCCCCTCCGTCCCTCCTCCCCACCCAGTCTGCTGTTCTCCAACCCTATTCCAGAATCTGTTCCATTGTATTCTAGAGTGCCCCCACTAAGGCATGTCATTCAGTGTTCTAGACCAGCGCACTCCGCTTCCTAACTGGGTCCAGCTTTCTACAACCCTGTCGCAGACTCTTTCCCAGCCCACCAAGTATCCTCCCTGTTTTGTGCCTGTTCTTCAGCCAGTGACACCCGGGCTCCACCGAGTTGTCCACCGGCCTCGCCAGACACAACAAGGCTGCGTGGGCGTGTGTTTGTGTCTAACACCTAAGGGTGGCAGTCGAGTCTCTGCTCCCACCGCATCCACTGCAAGACACACGGACGCTGCCGGCCGCGGTCCACTCCCGCTCGCACGCCGCGTGTCACCGTCTCACCTCTCGGACGGACGCCCAGCTTGACTAGCTCGGGGTCCAGCGGGCACCGGAGCCCGGCCCTCGTCGGTTCCCCGGCCCCGGGGATGCACCACCCCGCACCCACCTTGGCGTAGGCTTTGTACACTGTGGCGTACGTGCCACTGCCCAGGCGCTCGGTGAGGATGAAGCCGTCCAGCCGCGGGGGGGCCCAGCCGGGCCCGGCCATCCCGGCCGCCCCGCTCCTGCCGCTTCCTGCTTTCAGACTCGGGGTTCCGGCGCGCAGCCCAGCAGGCACATCGCGCGGCCGCCGGGGACGGGGCGGGGGGGGGCGGGAGACTCCACGCTGCCCCCAGCGCCGCCCTCCGGGACTGCAGCGCGGCGGGCGGGGCACAGGCCTCGCACCGCCCCGGGCCCCGCCTCCCCCAGGTTCTCCAGGTGCAGCTTCCGGACGCCTTGTGATTGCGTACTCCGCCAGTGCCCGCAAGGGCCATTTGGGAATACTGAGGTCCTTGCGGGTCAAGGCAAGCAGACAAGGTCACCAGGAGGAAAAGTCAAAGAGGCTCCCGAGGGTCTCCCTCCGACTTAGATCAGCATCTCTAAAGTAGAGATTGAAGGTGCCTTTGGGAAAGGCCAAGTAGGCACAGGAAGGGGCATCGGAGGAGCTCCGTTCAGGCTCCATAGGCCACCCCCATTCTCCTGAGTCCACCAAACATTAGAACCAGTGTTGTTTGAAAATGTTTTTATTTAAAGCACAAAAATTGAGACATTACATATACATTTATACATGAAGAAAAAACACCAGAAAGTTTACAAAACCTTGGTCACTGCCACTATCATTCAGTGGCTCTGGGGCTGGTGGGCTGACAGTCTGTAGGCTGCCTCGGGGTGGGGCCCGGGATCCCAGAGGCAGGCAATTGGCCAGCATTTTGAGAAGTCTCCTCAGTCCACACACCCACTCCTCTAGCCTTTGGAGGGCAGGGTGCGGGTTTTACCTGTGGACTCCCAGGTGCCCATCGCACTGACACACCTGAGGCATCCCCAGGAACACTGAAAGGTGACCTAGGTTCTACTTGGGGTATGGAGCCCAGAGCCCTCAGAAAAATGGCTCATTAGTCCAGCCTGGAAGATGCAGTTCTGGACTGATTCTTCCTGCCTCTCTAAGAGTCATACAAACGCGATATTGCTAATACGAGAAGGCAGAGTGGGGTAGGATCTGAGGCCACGGTAAAGGACTGCTGTCCCTTAGGAGAAGAGGAAAGAAAAACAAACAGGGCCAAACCACACCAAGACAATCAGACTCCACCCTCCCAGAAAACCGCCAAAGGCTGGGCAAGACAACTTGGGGTCAATGTCTTCTATCCCTCCCCGCTGCCCCAAATCCCAACAATCCCATTGCACATTCAGTAAGTCTAAAGAGGGAAGGGCTCAGAGAGGGCCCCAAGGGCACAGGTGCTGCCCATACCAGGATGGTGCAGGGGGCACTAAAGGTCTACGAATCTGTTAGAAACTTTAAGGCAGGGAAGAGCCTGGGGCGACCACGCCAGAGGCTCTGGAAGCCCAGAGACCACCCTAGAGTGATCTGGGGAACATAGCCTGCCTGCCATCCAAAGGACTGCAGTTCACCTAAACGGCAGCCCTTGGGAGGCTACCCCAGCCTGGGAGCGAAGGAAAGGAAGGACTGTGGAAGCCACAGGCTTGGTCTGAGATTTGCGCCAGGCCTGCTGGGGGAGGAGTGGAGTCCCAGGACCCTGGCAGAAGCAAAACTCCAGCTGGGATGGGCCCGGGTCAGCTGATGATCCCAAGTACGTACACGTGTGTGCCTGTGCACGTGGGTACGGGGAAGCGAATTTAGCCCCAGCGCTCCGAATCCCACCAAACCACCACCAGAGAAGGAAAGATGGCTTTTTTTTTTCTTTTCTCTTATGTAAAAAATAAGTCCCAATCCCTCCCCCCCTTCCCTCGGGCAGAAGGGAGAGCTGGTTGCCTGAGGAAGGAGGAAGCACCCGGCAAGCCCCTCCCCCGGTCTGTGCTGGGCATAACCACTGTTTAAGGCACCCACGGAAAGTGCAGCTAAAAGGCAGGCAAAGAGGAAAGGCTGGGGCAGAGGAAGGACGGTCGGGAGCCTAGTTCCCCTGGAAGGCTCCTCGGGCTGCACTGGAGGCAGCGCTGCGGAAGGTCCTGTTGCTGAAGATGCCCTGGGAAAACTCCTCCTGGGCCTGCTGGAAGCTGGCCCCGGTCCGGCGGTACAGGGAGTGCACCTGAGGAAAGAGGCCGGCATGAGAAGGCCGCCCTGGGGGCCCGCTGACCTCCCATCCAGAGCCTTGATGACACCCGCTGGACCTTTGGGACCTGGGGAGCCCAAGTGCTCTAGTGATGAGCTCGAGGCAAAGGCAGGGGAGAGGTGCCGCCTTCCTCGGGTTGCTATTGGGCCGGCACCCACACTCACCCGCTTCAGAAGGAAGAGGGAGAGCACGGCGCACAGGGTGAAGAAGCCAGCCACCACCATCATGATGATCGACACAGCCAAGTGGTCTTCCTTCAGTGTGGACAGGGCTGCAATCCAACCACTGCAAAGGGAGGCGGCCAGAGGGGACACAGTGGGAGCGGGCCCCGCAGGTCCCTGTGAGATGCTCTTCCCTAGGTGGCTGCTGTATGCTGACCAGCCACCACCTAGGCACCTCCCTGCAGCACAGAGCCAGGGGGCCACAAGCCCTTGGCCTGTGAGACCAGGTCTCTGTGAAGGCCAAAGGGAAGGGCCCCATGCAGCCCTCACAGCCAGGAGTAGCATGGGGGAGGGCCTTTCCCGGCTGTTCTAGAGGACATGGAAAGCCTCGCTGCTCACTCCCGAGGGGCCCCCCCTCTGGAAGGAGGATCACTGGCCAAGCCATCGCATTCATCCTGTCTCCTCAGCTCCTCCTGCTGGGGCCCTGGGCAGCCCCTCTGCCTCCAGTGTCACCTTCCTGGCCCCAGTGTCTTTATCTATAAAAGGGGATAGCCTCACACTGCCTGATTTAAACACTTACCACAAAGCCACAGTTCTGAAAATAGGGCAATACTGGTATAAGGACAGACATACAGATCAATGGAATCGAACTGAGAGTCCAGAAACAAATAGATAATCTCTCATCAACTGATTTTTGACAGGGATGCCAAGACCACTAAATGGGGAAAGAATCCACATGGAAAACAATGAAGCTGGACCTTCACTTCAAACACACACAAAACTTAAGATGGTTAAGAGACATGGGGTGCCTGGGAGGCTCACTCAGTTAAGCAGCTGACTCTTGGTTTCGACTCAGATCATGATCTGATGGTTCAGGAGTTCAAGCCCTGCATTGGGCACTGTGCTGGTGGTGCAGAGCCTGCTTGGGATTCTGTCTCTCCCTCTCTCTGCCCCTCCCCACCTCTCTCTCTAAAAATAAACTTTAAAAAACAAACAAAAAACTTTTTGTGTCAAAGGACACTATCACAAGAATGAGAAAAATAATACACAGGAGGAGGAAAATATGTTCATTATATATCTCATTGGGAGTTGGTACCTAGAATATGTAAAGAACTCAACAACAAAAAGACAACCCAATTACTAGAGAAAGACTTGAATAGACATTTCCCCAAAGATACACAAATGGCCAACATCATTAGTCATTCAGGAAATGTCAAGCAATAAAACAGTGAGGGGGCGCCTGGGTGGCTCAGTCGGTTAAGCGTCCAACTTTGGCTCAGGTCATGATCTCATGGTTCGTGGGTTTGAGCCCCGCATCGGGCTCTGTGCTGACAGCTAGCTCAGAGCCTAGAGCCTGTCTTTGGATTCTGTGTCTCCTTCTCTCTCTGACCCTCCCCTGCTCATGCTGTCTCTCTCTCTCTTTCCCTCAGAAATAAATAAAACATTAAAAAAAAAAAAAAGCCAGTGACATATCACACCTCTAGGTTGGGGAAAAAACCAAACCAAACCTGAGTTGGTGAGAATGTGGGACAATGAGAGCCTTCACACACTGCCAATGGAATGGTGCAGACTTCCAGCAATTCCACTCCTAGGTACATACCCACAAGGACCGAAAATAGGTATTCAACCACTCGTTCAAAAATGTTCACAGCATCGCTATTCACAAGAGCAAAGAGGTGAAAAAAACCCCAGGGTCTATCAAGTGATCAGTGGATAAGCAGGTGGGTGGGATATTATTCAGCCATAAAAAGGGATGGAGTGCTAATCATGTGACAACCTGAGCCTTAGAAACATTATGCTGATTGAAAGAGGCCAGACACAAAAAGCCACCTACTATACGGTTCCACTTAAATGAAATGTCCAGAATAGGCTGACCCAGAGAGACAGACAGCAGCTTAACAGCTGCCAGGGGTTCGGGGAAGGATGAAAGAACTATAGAGTTTCCTGTTGGGGCGATACGAATGTCCTAGAGGTAGACAGTGGTGAGGGCCACATGACACTGTGGGTCTACTACACACCACTGAATGTTTTACTTCAAGATAGTTTAGGTAGTAAATAAAACGTATGTTATGGGTATGTCACAACCAGTAACAAGAAATGGGGGTTATATCCACCCAGCTGTGGGGGTTGGGAGGTGAGGTGAGGAAGGTGCTGCAGAGCTCATGAGGGAAGCCTGGCCAGGTAATCGGGGCAGGGGGGCCAGGGTGGGGGTTCCCAACCGGAACTCAAGCCTTCTGACTCCTGAGTCCAGAAGCAAACAGCAGTTAGGCCACAGCCTGTCTCCCAGGATCTCACTTAGAATGGTGAGTAATGAAACTAGGTCACCAATCAAAGAGAAAAGGACCAGATTAGAAACAGCAAGGTGAGGGGTGCCTGGTGGCTCAATTGGTTAAGCGTCCAACTTGGGCTCAGGTCATGATCTCGACATTCTTGAGTTTGAGCCCCGCGTCGGACTCTATGCTGGCAGCTCAGAGCCTGGAGCCTGCTTCGGGTTCTGTGACTCCTTCTCTCTCTGCCCCTGCCCCGCTCATGCTCTGTCTCTGTCTCTTAAAAAATAAATAAACATTAAAAAAAATAAAAATAAGAAAGAAAGAAAGAAGGAAAGGAAAGGAAAGGAAAGGAAAGGGAAGGGAAGGGAAGGGAAGGGAAGGGAAGGGAAGGGAAGGGAAGGGAAGGGAAGGGAAGGGAAGGGAAGGAAGGAAGGAAGGAAGGAAGGAAGGAAGGAAGGAAGGAAGGAACAGCAAGGTGAGCAGAAAGAGGGGCGGCGGCAGGGCAGTTGCGCACAGGCTCAGAGTGCAAGGTGAGTCAGCCCTTCCCTCCTCTCTGGATCAGCTGCACTGGAAGGAGGGGACCAAAATAGTGCAGCCCTTCCAGGCTCAGGCTTTCAGCCAAGTGTCAGCCTGATCATTCTGCAATGTTCTCTGTGCACTGGGGTGGAACGGAAAACATCAGCCATCAGCTGAGCCCAGGACTACAGCGGTGCCCAGGAAACTCAAGCCAGTTAGATGCTCAAAGCAAGAAGGAGCCAATCCAGGAGAGGCTAGGGCTCCATCTCCTGACATTACAGGGCCTCTGGGAAAAGTCACAGCAGAGTGTGCAAAGGCCAGGGCATCTGTCAGCAGCTGCCCAAACCCAACGGCTCGTCTGGGGCTGGACAAGGAGCCTCTGCCTGAGGGGGGGGGGGCGGCCAAGAGAAAAGGATAGGATGCAGTCCTCCACAGGACAGAGCCCTGGTAGCCTGGACAACGTAAGGCAGTGAGTAGGTGAGCAGTGAAGAACTGGGGAGAGGGGTGCACACAGGCAGATCCAAGCCAGTCCACCCACCCCTCTCCCAACCCGGGTAGAAGATGGGTCATCTGCATGGACCCTCTGGGAGGGAGGACAGAGGGCGAGAGAGGTCAAGCCACTTCTAAAGCGTAATTCCATCTTGCTGCCCCAGGTCTCACCTGTCCCCCAGGCCAGGGATGCCAACCAACTGGATGATGTAGATCCCTATTTGACAAAAAAATACGAAGAAGAATACAAAGAAGCTGAAAGAATTGTCGGACCTGTGGAGAGAGGGGGAAATCCAGTCACAAGAGGGCTGGGGCTCGTGCCTCACCATTCCTCACTTGGCATGGCATCTGTCCTCATTAGGAGGCAGGATGAGAGCACAGACAGGTCCAGGGGACCCGCCACACTGTCCATAAGGACACAGACACCCACAACCATAATCAAAAAGGGCTCGCCACTCATTGCCTTCCAGTTTAAGGGGTTAATGCTTAACCCCTTACTCAAAGAGCTAATGAAGTGGCTCACCCAAAGGACAATATAAAGAGCCTAACAGTCCATTTCCAGGTGTATGTGTTTGCATTCCATATAAAGCAAGGAAAACGAAGCCAAAGGTATAAGTATCTAATAATAAAACTGTAGGCCTGGGTGGAAGAAAAAGTATTTGGGGAGCACAGAACTCTAGACCAGACCTCCAGCTCCATGTCCCTGAGGACTGGAATAGAGTGAGGCCACAGGGAGGCTGAGTGCAGGGGAGGGTTCAGCCACTGCCCTCCCCCCACCCCCACCTTCCTGGGGCCTGCAAGGCTACCAGGCCTGAAAGCTTCGACTCTGAGGCATAGTTCCACAAGCCCTAGGGATCTGTGAGGTGGCTCCACTCAGGTCCACGGTATCTATCCTAGGTCAACTGCTTTGGCACTCAGCAGGCTCAAGAGAGCCTGGAGTGATAAACCATGGCGAGCTTATCAAAGCCAGACTCTCTGAGAGGGGCTACAGCTTCAGAAGGAAGCTCTCTCCCTGGGTAGAGGGAGGGAGCTCAGCCTCCCTCTACCCAGTGGCTAAAATCCTAATGCACCAGACAGAATGGGAGCAGTGGGAACACAGGGAAGGGCTATAGACTCTTCCCTAGATCTCCCACGCTTAACCTAAGGACAGTGTCCAGAGCAGACCCCATGCACAATGACTCAGGAAAATGGCTCCTGACCCCTGTCTGTTCTCACCACGGGTGGGAACGGGAAAGTGAATTTCCCCACCAACCTATTCTGCTCTAAGACTAGGATGGCGCCCCCGGCTTAAGGCCCTTAGCCTGCCACCTGGGATGCCAGCCATGCACTGACCCCTTGTCCAACCCCACTCACCGGAAGGCTTTATAGATGGGCCGGTACCAACACAAGAAGGCACAGGGGGTGAAGATGATAAACCACAGGATCGACAGGCCAAAGTTCACTCCGTTGCTGCTGTCGACTAAGAACCAGGCCAGGCAGGCAAGCAGGTTCAGAAACAGAGTCACCGAGTGCACTGGGGAGGGGTAGGAGAGAGAGAGAGAGGCTCGTGCCATGGAGACTGAGGGCTCCCAGGCATAGCGAACCACCCCCTGGGGAGGACATGAGGTCCACAGAGTGAGGGGAGCTGCAGAAATACCATAGGACCTTTCGTCTGCTCCCAGGCGCAGTGAGCTCCCAGATGCTGATTTTCCGGGGCAGAAAAACCAGGGACCAAACCAAGTTCCTAAGAGGTGAAGGGACACCCCAGATATATGATGGGGTGGGGGGGTGGCAGTGAAGGGAGAATGTAGACTCAAAGGCTGATGCTTGGGGGAAGGAAGCCCTTGGAGACTCCTGTCCCTGCCCCTAGATGGCCCACCCACACTGAGCTACAGGGAGTCTATTATGCGCCCACACCCCTCAGAGCCCAGGGGCCTGTGGGGAGTAGGGCCTCCACCTAAGGGGGGCCTTTCAACACAAGGTGCCCCACAGGAACTCTGAAGCCTCTCACAAGTCTCGCTCTGTGTGATCCGTGGTGTGAGCTGGCCCCCCAAGGGAGGTTCCCACACAGGGTAGACTGTGGAGGGCCAAGCAGGTGGGCCGCAGGTACCCTCCACCCCCGCCCAGCATGAGGAAGGCTGGAGTCTGCGGGGAGGAGCAGCCAGAGCCCAGAAAGGGCTCTGGAGTCACACCCCATTTCAACGTAAGCTCAAGAAGGCAGGCGCGGGACTCACGCATCCAGAGATAGTAGAGCATCTTGCATATCCGCTGGTAGTCAGCAGGGATCTCTACCGAGAAATCCTGATAGAAGCAGGGCTTGACAGGGCACCAGAAGGGCAGGGGCGGCCAGTTGTTCTCTCTCACTGTATGGAGAGAGGTGACGAGGTGAGGCCCAGCCTCCACAGCAGCATGGCAGGGTACAGGCTCCCGCAGTTTACGGGCCAAACCAGGGCTCCAGAGGGGCACCAGAAAGTGGGGCTCAGGGTCTCCATGGGTAGGGGGTGGGGTGGGAAAAGAGTGATGGGGCACGAACGCACACGAGCCTGCTCCAAGATAACGGATCCCAAATGCACTGGGAAACAGAGCAAAATGGCCTATGGGATTATTTTTATGAACAGCCAGCCCATAAGTACAAGGGGTCATCATCATGATGAGGGGGAATCGCACGACCCGTGTCCCTACCCCAGCAAAAATTTCAGGGCTGGGAAGGAGTGTGGAAATAACCTGCACCCGTCAGGTCCACACTGCAGGTCTCCTGGCCTCCACCTCCCTGCCCTTCCTGGCACTGGCACCAGGGCTGCTCTAAGAAAGTCAAGAGCCCAACAGGGGTCCAGGGTCGCCCCGGGACAAGCAAGCTCAAGGAATGCTCCAGTGCCAGGCCTGGCGACCCAGGACCCAGCGGACTCCCCTACCATGTAGGCTGGCCACGGTGTTCTGCAGCTCCCGTTCCTTGCGCTCCAGCTCGGCTGCTTTCCTGTCCAGTTCTTCCTGCTGCCGGAGCAGGCTTGCCTGGGCTGCGGAGGCCACGGCCTGGGGGGCACGGAAGTGGGACAGCCGGACACAGAGACAGAGGGACAACATCAGTCGTCAGTGAGAGCAGAAAGTCAGAAGGGCCTTGCCCCATGTAGGCAGAGCCAGTCCCAGCCCTGGGTGGGCTTGGGTACCAGAGACCACCACAGAGAGGCCAAGGTGACCCGTCTGCTACTGCCTCAACACCACCTCTGTCCCCTTAGCCATTAACCAGCCCTACCCAGGGCTCCGGGATGAAGGGAAGACCCCTGAACTTGAGATGAGAGACCTCTCTCCCATTCTGGAGTCCAGGCAAAGTTCAGTTACAGTGACATCTGGGGTAACAGCAAAGGGAAAATGGCCTCACAAGAGACTAACCTGTCGCCAGAAACCCAGAGAGTCACACCTCATCTGAAGAGCCCGGAGGGGGTGCGTGTGAAGGGGAAACAGTGCAAAGCTGCTAGCAGTGAGTGTGGAAAGGACACCTGAGGTCAGATCATGGGCATCTGGAGCCTCAGGGATCCGTAGTTAAGTACCACCCCGCCCCACCCCCAGGAGCTGCCCCCTTGAAGTCCAGCTTAAAATGTGACCGGCTATACCCCGGCAAAGCCCCCTAGGCTTGCCAGGCTTTGATGACATGTGAAGTCCAAGCTTCCTCCCCTGTCCAGGAAGAGCCTCTGAGTGAGGCATCTAGGGACCGTGAGGTGGAGCAGAGGTGTCCCTGGTGTTCCAGCCCAGGGCCCCACTCCCGCCAGGGGCTACAGCTGTCGGGACCTGGTTCCTCCCCAAGTCTACAATCGTTTTCGGAAGCAGATACCAGACCAGTCACCTTGTAGGACGGCAAGCCAGGCATATGTGTACATACGTGTGTGTATGCGCTCATGTATGTGCTCACATGCGCGCGCACACACTCACTCACTCTCTCTCTCCCCGAAAGGAGTTTTCCAAAGAGCCAAGGTGGAGTTTAGGAGGTAAATTTCAGGCACTGGGGGCAAAAGCAGGACCAAAATGGCCCAAGCTGAAGGTCTCAGCCTTCCCTCCCAAGTCTGGTCAGAAGGCGAGAGCCGCCTGGGGCCCACGAGAGTCCAAAGCCTGGCTTGGGCCTCGCCCTCATGCTCATCTACACTTCGCCTACCTTCGGAAGCTTTTGCACGGAGCTGTCTCTGAGAATACTATCTCCTCCTGGTAGCATCTGCCTCTCTGAGAGCTCACTCACTGCCAGGACTCTGCTAGGCAGGGACTTGCTGGCCTGTCTACGGCAGCAGCTGCAACATACAACTCCACTGTGGGTCACGCTCACCGGGGTAGTGAGGAACACAGGGCAGGCCAGTGAGGTGATGGAGGCGAGTGTCAGGCACAAAAAAGACAAGGTTCACAGTATTTGGCAAAGGGACAAAGGAAAATAGGAAGGCAGGCAGAAATAAAAGAGGTTAAAAAAAAAGAGAGAGAGAGAGAGACAAAAGGAGTGAGGGGGGATGGATAGATAGACAGACAGACAGATATATTCTGGGCCCCGAGTAAGAGAGGGCAAACCAAAGGCCCCGCGAGGATCTGGAATGGCACAACAGGGGCAAATGCTCTCCCTGAAGACACCAAGGACCCCAGCCTGGCAAGCAGAGCTTATTTTGGGGCGGTGGTAGTGGGGGGGTGGGGGTGAGGATATAGGCTGGCGGAGTAGACGCTCCATGTGCAAGTGACCAGCTCTGAAGAGAGCATCACGAGGGCCCTTAAAGGGCTGCCAGGAATTAAGGCCCTCTGTCCACCTCCTCCCCCATTTCAGGGCTCAGCTACTGGCGCTACCCTCTCTGGAAAGGAGAGGCAAAAGGGACTTTCGTCAACAGTACCTGGGGGGTTGGCTGGGTTGGCTCCACTGAGGGCTGGAGAACCGCCGGCTGCGAGGGCGCAGGGAGCTGTGTGACAGGAACTGTCGTGGCTGCATTTGTCTGCGTGGGACACACCAACGGGGGCGGGTGAGTAGGGCTCCACTGAGTTGGCCACACGGGGGCAGACCCACAGCAGGGTGAGTGCCGTGCCCTGGCTGTGAGGGGCATTCCCTCTGGGACAGGCCTGGGCCGGACTCAGGCTCTAGGCCACGTGATGCTGCACCTGCCACCCCTGGCCTCCCTGCCACCGGCCTCCCCTCTTCAGTGAGAGCCCCGATGACATGACAGACCCCAAGGATAGAAGTGCTGGTTTCTTCATCCTTACCCCTACCCCAAGTTCACATTAGGACTGCGGCTTCTCAGAGCTGTCTCTGCCTCTGCCCCGTCTTGGTCCAGAAGCCTGGCACCACCCAGGGGACCCAGGGACTCAGAAAGAGGGCACGTTCACCAACCTCTGAGAAGGGGTTGAATTCAGCCAGGCCACCTTGTGGGGCATTGGTCAGCTGGGTCACAGAGGGGTCCTGTGAAGGTAAAAAATAGAACAAACAAAAATGGCCATGAGCCGCTGGGGAGAGAGGACCCTGATGAAGGGGAGGGACATCACCATGTTCTGGGCTCTCCCAGGCCTGCAGGCACTCCCAGGGATACGTGGCCGAGGTGAGGCTGCTGAGGCCCTTCCTGGTGCCCTGAAAGGCCTCTCCAGAAAGGCTCCTCTGCCTGGCCCCTGCCACACTGGAGCCGCAATCTCTCCTCCCTTTCTGGGAAAGGAGTTCAGCCCCGATGACTCCCCGGAAGAGTCCCAGAGCAAGCTTTACACTCTGAGACCTCGTAATAGACACCTAGTAAGGGTCCTTGTTAGTGCCCTTAACAGATTCAAAAGGGTTTACAGCATTTACCTCCAGGGACTGGGTGGGTTGGGGGGGGGGGGGGAGTGCATGGTAGGAACAGAGACTCATTTTTTAATTTATGACCTTTCTGTACTGTTTTATTATTTTACAGAAAGCATTTATTCCTCTTATTTATTTTAAAAAGCTTATTCATTTTGAGAGACAGAGAGAGTGTCCAAGTGGAGAAGGAGAAGAGAGAGAGAGGGAGAGAGAGAATCCCAAGCAAGCTCTGCACCACCAGTACAGAGCCTGATGAGGGGCTGGAACTTGCACACTGCAGTATCATGACCTGAGCCAAAGTTGGACACTTAACTGACTGAGCCACTCAGGCACTCCCCCGCCCTTTTTTTTAAGCTTATTTATTTTGAGAGGGAGGGACAGAGAGCAGGCTTGTGCCCATACATACAGGGAGGGGCAGAAAGAGAGGGAGAGAGAATCCTAAGCAGGCTCTGCACTGTCAGCGCAGAGTCCAACTCAGAGCTCCATCTTGTGAACCTTGAGATCATGACCTGAGCTGCAATCAAGAGTTGGCCACTCAAAGGGCACCTGGGTGGCTCAGTTGGTTAAGACTCCAACTTGGCTAGGGTCATGATCTCATGGTTCATGGGTTCAAGCCCTGCCTGGGGCTCTGTGCTGACAGCTCAAAGCCTGGAGCCTGCTTCAGATTCTGTGTCTTCCTCACTCTGCCCCTCTCCTGCTCTAGCCACCCAAGTGCTCCTCTTATTTTTTATTTTAATTTTTTAATGTTTAGTTATTTTGAGAGAGAGCGCGCGCAAGCCAGGGGAGGGGCAGAGAGAGGGATAGAGAGAGAGAATCCCAAGCAAGTTATGTGCCGTTAGCACAGAGCCTCATGTGGGGCTCGAACTCACAAACCATGAGATCATGACCTAAACTGAAACCAACAGTCAGATGCTTTTTTTTTTTTTTTTTAAATGTTTTATTTATTTCTAGGAGAGAGAGAGACAGCGTGAACAGGGGAGGGTCAGAGAGAGAGGGAATCACAGACCGAAACAGGCTCCAGGCTCCGAGCTGGCAGTCAGCACAGAGCCCGACGCGGGGCTCGAACCCACGAACCGCGAGATCATGACCTAAGCGAAAGTCGGACGCTCAACCGACTAAGCCACCCAGGCGCCCCCAACAGTCAGATGCTTAACTGACTGAGCCACCCAGGCACCTGCTCCTCTTACTTTTTTAAAGGACAGTTTAAGGTTCTGGAATAAAAACCCACTGCTGGCTGCCAGTACTGATTTTGTTAAATCAGACACACTTGCTAGGAACAGAGGCATGAAGCACTCAGATGAAAAGCAGAGAGAATGTTTTGTTGTTGTTGTTTTAAATGCAAAAATGTCCTGGGGCGCCTGGGTGGCTTAGTTGGTTAAGTGTCCGACTTTCGCTTAGGTCATGATCTCGCGGTTCGTGGGTTCGAGCCCCGCGTCGGGCTCTGTGCTGGCTGCCAGCTCAGAGCCTGGAGCCTGTTTCAGTCTGTGACTCCCTCTCTCTCTGACCCTCCCCTGCTCACGCTGTCTCTCTCTCTCTCCTAGAAATAAATAAAAACATTAAAAAAAAAAAATTAAAAAAAAAATGCAAAAATGTCCTTTAGAACCTTCTCCATCTGACCTCTGCCAAGGCCAGCCCTCCAGCCTAGGGCCTGCACGGCACTCCCTGTCATCTCCTTCACTAAGCAGCCTCCCTGCTGGCCTGGGGCCAGTGGGCCTCATCCCGCTCCCTCCCAGCACGCAGTCATCCTTTCCCCGGCCCGAACATAATAGGTATGGGGCTCAGGTCCAGCTCGACAGCGATGCCTGGGCTCTGGGAACAGCTGTACCACCGTGGACAGTGCCAGGACCCAGGTTACAAGGCCTCGCCTTGGCCCCACTGTGTACCTAACCCCCATCCCTCACTTCAGGTCCACACGCTCCCGTCCTGCTCTCTTGGCCACACCTCCACCAAGAATCCACAGACTGGATTCTCAGGCACAATATTAACATTAGACAGACCCTCAGGGAACACTCCCCTCAATTCTCAGACGTGGAAACAGACCCTACTGTGGTGCCGCACGTCCTAGGTCTCAAGATGGCTAGCTTCCTACTCCGTACATTCACAGAATGTCAGCCATGCGCGTGTTCTCTGCTGTTTTTCACACATACTAACTCTCATCTTCTCACCTGGGTCTCTGGTTCCTGAACAGTGAGACTGTGTCTGGCTGGTCCCTGGGCCCAGCCCAGAGCTGGGCACACAGCCTCAACTCACTTCTCTCTAGACAAACCTCCTCCCTGGACCCCTGCCAAATTTCCTCTGCAAGGAGGCAACGTGGATCTGTCCATTCTGCTGGACACCATCCCTGCCTGGTGGCCCCCACAATTTGGGCAAAGGGACAAGGTGAGGCTCAGAAGGCCACCTGAGCTGGAGGGACTGGCCTTGAGGTTGTTGGCTGGGTGACTAGTAGATTTCTCCCAGAATTACTGGGCTGGCTTTCTGCAAGAAAGATTTGGAGCTCCGGCTCTCTTCCCCTTTCCGACTCAGCAAACACCAAGCCACAGCACGGTGAGTGAGCTGAAGTCACTGAAATCAGACCCACCTTGCAAGGAACTGGTTACTTGAGTGTGTGTCACAGGACAGAAGACAGAAGGACAGCTCTGGTAGCAGTTTCGGGTGCCGGCCCACGTGTCTGGCTGAGGTGCATGGGTTTAATAGGCAACCTCCAGACGCATGCAGAGATGTCATTTTCTTTACCACGGTCAACCAGAAGAGGATTCTGGGGGTGGGCAAGCTGACTACTCTGTCCATGGTGATTTCTCCTCCTTTTTCGAAAGTCTTAAAGACTTGGTCCTTTACCCCTCACCAGATTCGCCATAAACAATTTCTGTCTCCACCAGCATGCTGTGACCTCCGCAGCCAGATGCTTCAGTATCAAGTTCATACTTCTGGCTCCTAGTGCTTGGGGAAGAGTCGATGCAGGGTAGAAGGTAAATGATGTTCGAGAGCACCCGCTGCATGCTCTGCTCTACTTTCTCTGGGAGGTGCTGCCCCAAAGCTGGAGGGTACCTGCATCACTGAGGCAGCCCCAGGGCCCACAAGCACCCTGCCTCAGAAGATGGGCCTGGAACATTCTGGGACACCTGGGTGCTTTCTCAAAGATGAGAAGCTCGGGCCTGGTGAAAGAGGAAGGGAGCTGACATTAACTGAGTGTCTACTATTTGCCAGGCTTACACAATACACAATGTGTATTCACATATTGTGAAGTTCTAGTCACCCCAGAACTGGCCACTGTGTCAAGCTGTCAGAAAAGAAGCTTCTACCAGCCTTCCTCAACCTGATTCTTTTTTTTTAATTTAATTTAACTTTTTAAATATTTTTATTTATTTCTAGGAGAGAGAGAGAGACAGCGTGAGCAGGGGAGGGTCAGAGAGAGAGGGAGACACAGACTCCAAAATAGGCTCCAGGCTCTGAGCTGGCAGTTAGCACAGAGCCCGACATGGGGCTCAAACCCACGAACCGCGAGATCATGACCTAAGCAAAAATCGGACGCTTAACCGACTAAGCCACCCAGGCGCCCCATCAACCTGATTCTTTAAAAGAATTAAGGCCCAACGCCCTAAGGCATCCATTGTCTGCAATAACTTGACTTCTGTGCATCTAGAATAGTCCTGGTTCTATTCCATCCCTGTGAGAATGGAGATCATCGTCACTTCAACCAGCTTCTGAACCCTGTGGCTCAGCTGAGGTATCCCCTCATTCAACCTCATGACCACCCTGAGAGCAATTAGTCTTTTTAGTTTGCAGCTGAAGAAAGTCCCCTCTCAGAGGGGGGAAGTGGTTCGTCTAAGATCCCAGGGGTAGTGGCTGAGCCAGATTCTGAATTCAAGTTATCTGTATCCAGGGACACGAGTGGTAAACCTGAGAGGGCAAGGTGTGGGTCTACCTTGTTCAGCGGTGTACCCCCAAAGCCTGGTGCACTTGACAAACAGAAGGGGCTCAGTGTATGGCTGAATGAATGAACCCCACTCCTGAGGAACACTGACGGGGCACCAGGAGTGACCAGGACAACTGCTTCTTGCTCATGTTTTTATTCCTGGACATCAGGAAAGCCCTTGGGGCACACCCGTGTTAGGAGACATGCAGCGAACCTTGCACTAAGGACCACGCTGACTGGTTTGAATATGACCCTCAGCTTCCACTCGACTCACAAATAACAAGCCAACGGCAGAAGCTTCTTTCCCACTAACGAAGCATCAGCTGGCTCGGAAGTGGGTCAAGTAGTTAATTCAAAGCATGGCGAGAGCTAAGTTCCACCTACAGAGAGGTAACCTAAAACCCCTTGGGACCCAAAGGGCCGAGCCTGGCTAATGCCCTTTACTGAATATCTAACAAAGAAAACGATCCCGCACTCAGTTCTTTTCATTCTAGGAAGAGTCACGAACAGTGTGAGTGACACACCGAGACCAACAGGATGCAGCTCTTGACCTTCTGGAGCGGATGACTGTGGCAGAGACATGTGCGCATAGCACAAGAGCCTAGGGCAGAGGGGGAAAGGGAGGGGAAGGGGGGACAGGGGAAGGGCGGAGAGGCTCACCACCTCTGGGGTGGGGAAGCCCTTCGGGTAGCTGGGGCGTAAGGGCCCAGAGGAAAAGGGG